TCAACATCTGAAAGTCAGACATTCAAATTGCTCCTGAGCTAGGGCATAGGTCAGTTAGTGGAGATTATCTAAAAACTGGTCACTTCCCTAACACCTAAATTGTAATAAGTTTGACTTGATGTTGGCTTTCAAATGACAAAATGCAGAACTTTTAAGTTTGGTGCTGCTGTTTGTGGTCTGGCTCATGTCATCTATGACCAGGCACTGAGGTTGCTAGGAGAAGTCAAGAGTCTCCCCCTCCCTTCCCCCCTCCCCAGGAACCCAGTCTCCAGGAGGTGCCAGTTTGGCCAGTTAGTAATGCTGAAACAGGTGTGCTAAGTCCTGTTGTCACTTGGCCATCATAGTTCTTCCCTAGACAGCCAAAGCGGCTCAGATTAGACCAAAAAAGTGCAGAGTCAACTGGATGAATGAGGCCACTATTTACATCCTTCAGCATCAGAAGAGGGGCCTTTAAGCTAAGTAAACCTATCGCCATTCATTTCCTAGTGTTCTAGTTCCATTCCACTGCTGTAATAAAATAACCCCATAAAAGGCTACCTAGGGGAACTTGAGAAATCAAGAAAAAGGGCTTCTTTAGCTTACAGGCTACAGAGAAGTCAAGGAAGCTGAAGCAGCCGGCCACCTTGTATCTGTTGAGTTTTATGACACAGCTGGCCACATTGTATCTGTTGAGCTTTAAATACAAAGTATCCCCTGAGGCTGTCATGCCTGGCCCTTGGTGATAGTGTGTGCCACATTGTATCTGTTGAGCTTTATGACACAGCCAGCCACATTGTATCTGTTGAGTTTTATGACACAGCCAGCCACATTGTACCTGTTGAGCTTTATGACACAGCCAGCCACATTGTATCTGTTGAGCTTTATGACACAGCCAGCCACATTGTATCTGTTGAGTTTTATGACACAGCCAGCCACATTGTATCTGTTGAGCTTTAAATACAAAGTATCCCCTGAGGCTGTCATGTCTGACCCTTGGTCAGACATGTCTGTCTGCCCCTGTACAAAGATGAAAAAAACGAATGGATCAGTCTGTTTCTTGACTGTCTGGCCATCCTCACGTTCCTGCCATCATGCCTCCTTGTCATGATAGAAGGCACCCCTTTCTGGGATTATGAGGCAAATAAACCTTTTCTTCCTCACCTTGTGTTTGGTTGTGCTCTTCTCTCACAGTGACAGGAAAGTAAGGCCTCCAACATCCAAGAGCAAAGAGAAAATGAATAATGCATACATAGTGAGGACTTGTGGGGCATAGCAGTATACACATTTAATCTCAGCACTTAGGAGACAGAGGCAGGCAGATCTCTGTGATAGGGAGAGAGGGAGGGACAGAGGGGTGAGAACTCAAAAAAGAAACACACACACACACACAGAGGGACTTTTCTTCCCACTGTGAGGTAAAAGGACATACATAATGTCCAGCTGTGTGAAATTACAACTGGACGCAAACCTGGGCAATTTATTTTCAAGTATTTACTAGGAACCAAGCCTAAGACTATTAAATATTTCTACAGAGTATCTCCTTCAGTCCTTGTAGCTACTTCATGACAAACAGCATCGTTGTTGGTCCTATTTTGCTCCTAAGGAGACAGAGTGCTTGTATTATCTTAGGTAAGCTTCTAGAACCAGTGAGAATCCATACACAGAGGCAATTACCATGGTTGCTGAATAAAGAAATGTTGGCGTCAGAACTTGAATCCTAGTCTTCTTGACGACACAACCCATGCTGTTAATCATCTCATTGCCCAGCCATGTTGACCAGTAATCAATCTCTTCCAAAAGCTGAGGTTAATTCGTTGCTCAAACTCCTTCCTGAGCCTCCCACACTGGCTAATTAATAACGATCACAAAAATGCATGCTGAGTTTATATGGGTGTGATAATTTATTATTCTTGGTGTTCCCCCATTAAAAGTGATCAGAACTGGGGTCAGGAAGTGATGCAACACTTCCCAGTGTATATGAATCTCTGGGTTTAGCCACCACTGCATAATAAAGTAATTAATTCAATGAAGTGACTGGGGCTGAGGTGACTGTGGGTAAAATGCTTACCACCAAATCATGAAGACCTGAATGTGATCCCCAAAATCCACATCTAAAACACTGATTGTAATGGCATTCACTTCTAATCCTAGCACTGGGGGAGTGAGGGCCCTTGGATCCCCGGGGCTCACTGGCCAGCCAGCCTAGCCAAAGAGGGGAGAAAAAAAAATGTAGAGAACAATTGAGGAAGATGTCCAAGGTTGACCTCTGACCTCCACACACACGTGCACACACATGTGCACATAACCACACGCATACACAGTAGGAGAGAATGAAGCTTAACATGCCTAGAAGTGGTTGATGGAATCTTTGTTAACTCACTTAGGAGTCAAAGCAGAGAAAAATATCTCAGTGACTGTGTTAGGGTGTCCCAATCCTTGCCATGAATACAACACAGGCTCCTTTGTCTGATCTTCCTTGTCACAGGCTCCTTTGTCTGATCTTCCTTGTCATTTTAATTTGGAGAGTGTGACCTTTCTGTTAAGAAACACTCACTGGTGGGGATGGAGTTGTGGCCATGGAGATGTCCCCCATCTAGACTCCTTGTTTGTTAGATGCTGGCCTTCTGAAAGGCAGACTGAAGCCCTTACTATATGGCCAGTTTTCCCTGGAAGAGTTAAACCTCAACACTGAATGTTTTCTTTTACCCAGTGTGTATGGTGTGCGCGCGTGCGTGCGTGCATGTGTGTGTGTGTGTGTGTGTGTGCGCGCGCGCGCATGTGTGTGTGTGTGTGTGTGTGTGTGTGTGTGTGTGTGTGCAGGTATATGAATGCCGCAGTCTGCATGTTGAAGTCAGACAAAAACTTCAGCCTCCATCCTCACCTTCAACCATGTTTAAGATAGGGCCATTATTGTTCACCATTGTGTGATCCCAACTAGCTGGCCTTCAGGACCCTAAGGATTCTCCTTCCACTGACCCCAGTCTCGCTGTAGGAGCCTGGGATTGTAGCCATTGCATCCAGTTTATGTGTGCTCTGGGGATCCGAGTTAGGTTCTGATGCTTACACAGAGCACGGAGCCATCTCCCCAGTCCCCTACAAGTGTATGTGTATGGAGATATTCTGGTGCCAGTAGGGCATAACTGTTGATGCAAATTATTATTAATATAATTAAGTTTAGGTCACATTCAAGTTCATCAAGCAGTAGCTTCTAGTCCTGTAATTGTAGGTTCAGGAGGTTGATCTAAAGGAGATACCTACCCCTAAGATTCTCTGTTTAAATGTATAATCATTTGCTGCTCCCATTTCTTCCAAAGTTGTTTTTGACAGTGTAGAGTTGAGGAGGGTACTAACACTCCTCGGCAAAGCCTCGTTTTTCAGAGGTCCAGAAATACTGTGGGTTCCCACGGTTCTGGTTAAACCCGCCAAGAACCTGTCTGTAGCTGCTGGCTGGCATCGTCTTCTCAAAGTTGAAAGATTTGGGATGCCTGATGCTGCCCTGTGTGTGTCCCCAGCTGTTAGTGGGTTGTTAGGCCCCGATCTGGGCCATGGCAGCCCTGACGTGCCAAGTGGGTTCAGCCATCTTTCCTCAATGGATGCACTAAAGAGATCAGAAATAGGGGGGGAGCAGAGTAAAGAGAGTTGCGTAATTGTGGCCACACTAGGGAGAGAACAAAGAGGTCTTCTGACCCCCACATCATCTTTGGGGTCCTGACACAGGGTTTAAACAGAGAAGAGAAGTCAATAAGCAGTCCTGGTCAAAGTGTGGTTCCCAGCCTTGTCTCAGCCCCAGGCTGTCCTGCAAGGTTGTCAGACTGTGTGAAGTCTCTTCCTGGGAGACAGGTTCCCCCAGCTGACACCAGGCCTTGGCATTTCCTTTCTTTCAGTGGGAGGTGGAAGGGAAATTCCAGTTCCTTGGGGCTCATTGTTTCAGTGTCTGATCGCCCGAGGGAGGGCGTCTGCTGTCTCTATATCTTTAGAATCTCTGCATTCCTGCCTGGATGGCTACACTTCTTGTAGTAAATGGCCTGGGTATTTCTGAACACGAGTGCACAAGGAACCCCCAACATCCACCACCCTACGCTACTCCCACCAGGCACCAAGCAACCGCGCATCCTCTCCGGAGCCGTTTCAGACTTGGCTTCTGCAAGTGGGCAAAGAGAATTAGCAGAGAGAATCAGCATTAGGCCCCACCTGGCAACAGCCACACGTGTGGCTGTGTCTCCTCACCCAGCATACACTAGGAAGGTTGCGCTTGTGGGGGGCCCACTGACCCAAGGTGTCTGTCACATCCCTTTGTCCCAGCAGCTCCGGCTGCTGTGGGCTCTCTGAGGACCTTCAGCTTGTTTCTGCTGCCATCTACCGTCCATCCAGGGAAAGTCGAGGTCTGCAGGCTGGGGAAGGAAGTTGGGAACTGTAGACTTTGCAACTTCTGCTCCCACAGAGGAAAAAAAAAAAAAAAACCTGGCAGCCCGTGGTGCCCCCAGTGAAAACACTATCATAAAACTTGTGTTTATTGACCTCCCAAGTTTAAAAGCAGTTTCATTTGAATTGTAATCAAACCACCAAATGACCTTTCTGCCCCTGGGCCCCAGAGTCCCTGAAAGGACCAATTGTTCCCTGCTTGAGTGAAGAAACCTTTTGTGTAGTTAAGCAAATGTTCTTGCAATTGTATCCCCTGCTGAGTGAGGACAGTTTCTGGGTCTTGGGTTTATTGATGGTTTTAGGTCCTTACTCACAGCCTCCCTGCCCCACAGCCCTCAATACTTCTTTACTTTCACATCAGGGAAGGAGGGGAACAAGGCAGATCTCTTCACCGGGCCTTACACCTTCTATTCTGCACACGCAGATCCTGGTAATAGCCCCTGCGCTTTGTCCCAAGCCACCAAGCTCAAGATCTAAGGCCCCTTGGCAGAATGGTAGGGGCATCCACAGAAGCAGACCGACCACAGGAGCTGAGTGAGAGGCAATGATCATGTTCCTGGGACTGGTATGTTCATGCGATGTGTTTTCCTGTCTTACAGCTGTTCGTTGGGCTGGGATTCCCTTATGAGGGTCCAGCTCCCCTGGAGGCCATCGCAAATGGATGTGCTTTCCTGAACCCCAAGTTCAGCCCTCCCAAAAGCAGCAAAAACACGGACTTCTTCATTGGCAAGCCCACACTGAGAGAGGTGAGTCTCCAGAGCATTCGCTTTCTTTTATGCTTTTGTGTTTGTGTGCGTACGGGCGGGTGGCATGTGTGTATGCGTGTGCACACGCAGGTGTGCACACGTGTGCAGGCATGTTTGTAGAGGCCAGAGGGTGACGTGTGGGGCCTTCCTCCCCTCTTCCCTTTATTCACTAAGGCAGAGTTTCACCCATCTCAGAGCTCACTGATATGACTCCTCCAGCTTGCCCTAGAATCCCCTGCCTCGCCTCTTAGGCTCTCTGATTAAAAGCAGGCTGCCGTGCCCACCCAGCTTCTTTGATATATGCTGAGGATTCATGTTCAGGTCCTCATGTTTACACAGCAAGCGCCTGTCATGTACGCCAACTCTCCAACCCCCTGCCCCAACTCTATTTTTTCAGTGACCATGGCGGGTGTTCTTTCCAGGCTTCTAATCCCAGCTGACAGCTGGACTGGGGAGGCCACTGGGACACTTCCTCGTCTCTCGGTTGCACAGGCTGAAGGTGGAGAAGTGACGGTCACATCCGCCTCAGAGTTGGAGAGATGGATTGGTCAATAAAGTGCTTGCCATACATGTTAAATCCCCAGAACTCTGTAAAAAAGCCAAGCGTCGTAGCATACTTTTAAAATCCCCAGAACTCGGGAGGCAGAGACAAATGGATCCCTGGCCTTCACTAGCTAGCCAGCCTAGCCTTCTTGGCCAGTTCCAAATTGATGAGTGACTATGTCTCAAAATAAAAAAAAAAAAAAAAAACCACAAGGTAGACAATGCCTGAACAACATCCAAGGTTGACCTGTGACCTCTGTAGATGCGCGCGCATGCGTGTGCACACACACACAGCACCAACCCCTAGAGACAAGACATCATCGCTGACTGCAGTGGTGTTCCTGAGTTCTTAGCCCACCCTCAGCAGGCACCACACTGTCAAGCCATGCCTACATTGCTAGAGCCCTGTCACAGAAGCCTTGTTCCATTTGCTTCTACAGATGAAACCTGTAGTGGGTGATGAGCATGGCTGGGATCCATTTGCGGTGATAAACAAGTCATTTACAGCTCAGTGTGGGTGCTCAGTGTGGTGAGGGTGGGAGGGGTCTGTTTCGGGGCAGACACAGGTGTGCACAAGAAACCGTGAGATTGGCTTCCCTGTTATTTCGGGGCAGTCAGTGACTCTCCCGGCTGCTCATGCATGGGGGCATTACAGCAGGGTCCCTCGGGGCCTTCGGCTGGGCAATCACAGTGGTGGAAAAGCCTCGGGTGACACGGCAGCAACTGTTTCTAGAACGTTCGTTTCTCAATTCTGTTGCTTTTTAACCGTTTGGGACATTTTCCTGAACTTCTCTCCCATAGTGCATCAGGGCATTTCTTCCCTGCCCCTCTTCTCTGTGTTTGTTCTTTGGAAGTCTTCATGAAATGTCTATTTAGATACATTGCCCCTTCTTGTTTGCTGGCTTTTAGAGACAGGGACTCACTGTGTTTCCCTGGCTGTCCTGGAACTCGCTCTGGAGACCAGGCTGTCCTCAAACTCACAGAGATCCACCTATCTCTACCTCCCAAATGCTGGGATTACAGGCATGCACCACCACCACCCAATACTTTGCCTATTTTTAAGTAGGGTTTGTTGAGGGTGTTTTGTTGCTGTTTTGTTTTTGGTTTGTTCTTTGTTTTTTTTTTTTTTTTTTTTTTTTTTTTTTTTTTTGTTTTGCTTTTGAGTGGTAGAGATTCCTTAGATATTTAGGATATTAACCCTTTATCAGACATAATTTAGAAAATTTTCTCCTATTTGTTGGTGACTTCTCTTGATGTGTAAAAACTTCAAACCTTGGAGCTATGGAAATAGCGTCAGTAAGTAACGTGCTTGCCACACAAGCAGAAAGACCCGTGTTCAGTCCCTGGAACACATGTTTAAAAACAAAAACACCCCAGACACAGTAGCTCTCACTTGTAATCCTAGAACTATGGGGAAGGGGGAGGGGGGAGGGGTCCCTGGGACTTGCTGGCCAGCCAATGTAGCTTGCCTGGCTTGTCCCAGGCTAGGAGAGATCCTGTTGCAAAGAACAAGAGGGATGGCCTGTGAGAAATAATCTGAGGTTGGTCTCTGGCCTCCAGCATGCACAAGCATGCACACGCATGTACACATGCTCACACATACATGCACACAAAGAAGACACTCCTGAACACGTTCTACCCCATTTCCAGAGGTTGGTGTCACATGACAGTGCTCACACCAGCCATTACTGAGGAAGTGCCCATTGTCCCCTGCCATTTGCCATCATCTAATCATGTGATTGTGTTGAAGCTGAGAAGGGCACTCATTCTCTGTGGCATAAGGAGGGAAGAGAGCTTGAATCACCTGCAAGGGATGTTTCTATCAGCCCTTAAGTGAGACGGTGAGAGGAAGAGCGTGGAGTCCTGTTATCACTGGCTTTGCACGTGACCTCATCCAGATGTCAGAGGGAGTGGGCAGAAGCTGAGCCCTTTCCCACAACAGCCTGTGGTACTAGCTGCCATCCTGAGGGAGTTTAGCAGCAGTTCCCATTTTCTAGTCGCTCCATGTCTAATTTGGAAGCGTGAGAAGACAGCTGTGTCCTCACATAACATATAGAGTGGGGTTGGTACAGCACTTGCCTGTACGCAGAAGCCCTGGGTTCCATCTCCAGCAGCGCATGAAATAGGTACAGTGGCCTCACAGCTGTAATACTTGCACTTTGGAAGTGGAGAGTCAGGAAAGGAGGAAGTTCAGAGTCGTCATCAGCTAGCTATATGGCATGTTCAAGGCCAACCTGAAATACTTGAGACCAAAATGAAAGCCAAGTGGATGGAAGAAGGGTGTTACCTTCGAGTCAAGTCGCACAAAGGAAGAATGTTCGGTGTTAACAGACTGGGGTGGGCTTTAAACAGACGGAGAAGAGGGAGCTTGTAGAGTGATGAGCAAGGGAGAGCCAAGGTTACTTTGCCTCGTGCAGGAGAAGAACATCTAACAGCTTTGGGAAGGAAGTGGTAACCTTGATCTCCTGGCAAAAAGAGCCATATCCCCGGCTTTCATAGCTCTCAAAAGCCTCCACATCTCCTTAACCAAGGATGCTTTTAGTTGGAAAAGAGCTGCCAACAGGTCTACAGATGTCTAAATCTAAAACCTCTCAGCAATGTTCCTCAACCTATGAGTCCCACAGGTCACATATCCTGCATATCAGATATCTGCATTATGATTCCTAACAGTAGCAAAATTACAGTTATGAAGTAGCAATGACATAATTTTATGATGGGGTGTGGTCACCACGACATGAGAAGCTGTGTTAAAGAGTCGCAGCAGAGGGAGCTGGGGAGGTGCTCAGTGGGTGAGCACTTGTTGCTCTTGCAGAGGACTGGAATTCATTTCCCAGCATCCACAACCAGTGAGTGGTTCATCAATACCTGTAATGCCAGTTCCAGGGGATCCATGCCTACTTTAGCCTCTTGGGGTACTAGGTATGTGTACTCAGTACACATACATACATGCAGGCACTCAAACATACAGGATGGGTGGATAGATAGATAGAGAGATAGATAGATAGATAGATAGATAGATAGATAGATAGATAGATAGATAGATATTCAGGCATGTGGCATATACCGCCATCATGGGGAGGCAGACAAGATCCCTGGAGCTTACTGGTCATGGAATTGGCAAGATCCAGGTTCACTGGGAGACCCTGTCTCCAAAAAAAAGATGGAGAGTAAGCAAGAAAGCTGTCACACACATGTATACGCACGCGCATGCACACACACACACACACACACACACACACTCACACACGGGGGGGGGGGGAGCCCTTAGAAATGATCTCTCTTACCTCAACAAATAGAAAAGTTTAAGCCAAAGTCACACAGTACTATACTGTCTTTGTGTCTACTAGACCCTTCTGTTAAACGATCATTCACACACAAACATTGGTCAAGGGCAGTTGTCTTTATTTCTCTTGGTCTTCACTTGAAGAACAGGGGGAAAAACCGAGATTTCTAAATTTGAGTTTCACTTTTTTTTTTTATTTTTTGCATCAGAACAAATTCTCAGAGTGCATTGTCTACTCAGAGCAGGAAAGAAAAACCCCAGAATGCTTTGAGGAATGGAATTGCTTCATTATACTTTAATATAAATTAGATTTTTATCTTTATATTGGGGAACATATCAATAGGTTCCTGTAAAGAGAGTGTGCAATCTCCTTGGAGGTACGATAGGGGTTCTACAGTTGCCTCTCCTATTTCCCAAGATGCTGCTCGTCCAGAGGATGCCCCAGTAAATCTACTGACAGATACACACTCAAGTGGCTGAGATCAGACCATCAATAAATTAACAAGGAGGAACACAGAGTTCTGAGAGGGCTAATGAATCAAAAACGCCTCGCTCGTAAAATTAAGTAACCCTCAGCAAATGCAAACGAATAAAACAGTAATGGCTCAGCATTGTGTGTTTGCTAAGTGCTTAGGGCAGCCTTGTAAATAAGCAGGGGCCTTAAAAGAGGGAACGGGGAGTCTGTACTACTACGGAAATGACTCGGTGGTGACGTTTGTTGCTGGCAGTTGAAATTTTAGCATTAGATGAACTAATTAGCTTGTTCCCTAGGCCACAGAGCAGAAATGATGGGACAGTCTGCTCACTCTCAAAAGGTCTAACATAACGTAAATGCGGCCCTGGGATGGATGTGTGTGCGTGCGCGTGTATGCATGTCTGTGTGTGTGTGTGTCTGTGTGTGTGTGTGTGTGTGTGTGTGTGAATTTTAGGAATGTTTTTTTTAAGGCTTTGTTCAGTTTTCTTAAGAATTTGGTGGTGTTCCTTAAGATGCTTTCCTTTTTGCTCAAAGATACTGAATCGGAACTGGGAAGACAGCTTAGTTGATATAAAAGGCTTGGAGGACTTGTTCAGTCCTCAGAACCTGTGCGGAAAAACTGGCTGTGGTAGTATTCCTGTATAACCCCAGTGCTAACGAAGCAGAGACGAGCTGATCCCTGAGGCTCTTTGGCCGACCAGCCTAGGTTGATTTATGGGTTCAGAGTCAGTGAGACTGTCTCAAAAATAAGTCCATACGGATCTTGAGGAATGGAACCTGAGATTGACTTATGATTTCTACACACATGTATATGCTCATACAGACAAACAAGCATAAAGCTGCTCTGTTGATGAAGGATCTAGATTTGATTTCAGCTTTACTGATTTCTGCTTACATAGACCCCCAAGAAACTTGGAACCCTTGTGATGTATGGGGAGCCTGATAAGTAATATATGAGCTGGGGATTAGCCTGCTGTCTGCCCCAACCTTGTGGATTGGTATTGAATCAAAGTATGTTGACAAATAAGCTTTCCACAGCTCTGTAAGTCTGCAAAGTCTCCAGCACTGACCACAGAGCCTGAAAAAACAGAAGTGGGAGCATGCGCAGAAACCTAGAAAGGCTGCAGCCTCAGGACTGCAAGGTTTTGTAATTTCCTGGAGGCTCTCCCAGGGGCTTGCTCCTAGCTTCCTGCCCCAAACAGGGCAGGGCGTGCAGCGCCTGTTGTGAGGAGGTACGGAAGGAGGAGATGGCCGGTGCTAATCATCTTTGTAGTTCTCTGGGTGTCTATGTATTTACGGAATTGGGAGGAAAGAGGAAAAACAAGAGAGCCAGCTTGGCCTCGGAAGCAGAAGTCATAGTGGTAGCAGCAGCAACTCTTGCAACAAATAGGTTAGGATGCATTTTCCAGCTGTGGCGCTTGGTCACTGGGTGAGAGCACTTGCTGAACAGGCAGGCACTTTCCCCAGGCTTGCTTGGGTCCTGAGCAGCCAACACACAAGCCGAGCATTGCCTCCAGCACCCGATACAGCTGTGCTCCAGTAGTGGGGACCAGTGGTGGCTGCAGCTTGCTGGTCTGTGTAGCTAAAAACAGCGAGCACAGCCTCACTGAGAAACGCTGTCTCACATGACTAAGGCCAAGAGCAGCACAGCCAGCACCCAGTGTCTTCCCCTGGCCTCTGCTCACGCACAAGGGTTTGAACCTGCACACACATTGCCCATACAGACACATGCAAGTAATGAGTAACTGAGTGAACGAGCTAGTAACTAATAAAGAATGAACAGAACTTATTTTCTCTCCAGAAGTAAAAATGGCAAGTAATAGAACTTGCCTTGTAGATCATTTTTATTTATTTATTTATACTATGTTTTAAAAAAAAGATGTAAAAAAGTAATTTTTAGGAAAAGAATAGGTATTTCATTCAGTATTATGTGCTAAAAGTTATTGTAGAAGATGGGCTGTCTGGTTCCACCATACAATGAACAGTTGTATTTAAAGGGGACAAAACATTCAGCTAAGCACTGCCAGTCTAATTTTCTTATGTTTGACTTTATGCAGAGAGAGCCGAATATAATCTGTGTACACATCACACACATACACACAGATGTATTAATGTGGCATCTACCCATGGAGGCATGTTTTACTGGAGGATAATAGCCAGAGTGCCATTGGTGTTGCGGTGACATTTTTCTGAAATGTTGACTGTTCGTGGATGAAGTCTTAAATAAGCCAGTAGAAGGCACAGAGGGTGTCTATCTGGCATGCTGGGCTCCATCCCCAGCACTGCTTAAACCAAGCACAGTGGTCCAAGCTGCTCATCCCAGCACTCTAGAGGGGGAGGTAGGAAGATCAGAAGGCCGAGGTCATCTTCATCTACTAATGAGTTAGAAACTGCAGCCAAGACTACATAAGATTTTACCTTTAAAACATGGACATTTTTTGCTATATGTGGTGTACACTGTAATTGTCGTGCTGGACAATTCAGCATGTACTGAGATAGCCTCTAAGAATTCTTTTCCAGGGATCCACATGAATCACCAGCCAACTGCCTGGGCCGGTGATGTAGTGGGTGGTTAAAAAAAAAAAAAAAAAAAAAAAAAAAAAAACTTGCTTAATATATTCAATCTCAGTCAATCAATTAATGTTCCTTGGGAAATGACAAGTCTTCCTCGTGCACAGCTGTCCTGATCATCTGCAATGTTTCCTCAAATGCGTGTACAAGGTTTTCCTTTACCCACTGCCTTAACGAGGTATAAGAAGACCCCAGGAAGAAAGAGCAAGAGTAGACCTTTGAAGAACTCAGAGTAGCCCAGATACATGCTTGGACATGCTTTGTTTCTTTGGCTACACATTTTTTTTTTTTTTTTTTTTTTTTTTTTGATACAAGGCCTCACATAGCTTCAAACACATTGTAGGTAAGGATGACTCCTGCCTTCCCCTCCTGAGCACTGGGATGATAGGCATGTACCAGGACACCTGGGGGGGGGGGGAGGGTCAGGCACTCCAACTCTCCAGCCTCCTTTAGACACAATTTCCGCATTTATTCTTTAAGGAGGGTTTATGCATGCACCACAGCAGGAGACAGTATGCATGCACCACAGCAGGAGACAGTATGCATGCACCACAGTAGGAGACAGTGTGCATGCACCACAGTAGGAGGCAGCGTGCATGCACCACAGTACACTGTAGAGGTTGGAGAATAAATTGCAGGAGTCGGTTCTCTTCTTCCAGCATGTGGGGATTAAAACCAGGTCATCTTCAGTCCTGACCCCAAATGCCCTCACCTGCAGAGTTATTGCATCTGTCCTGACTACTGGAATCCTAAAACCCTTAGGAGGGAGATTCACTCCTTGCTTCTCTGATTCTAAATTGTCTTTATAAATTTTATGTTCTGCGGCTGGAGGGATGGCTCAGTGGTTAGGAACACGTACTGCTCTTGTAGAGGACTAACTTTGGTTCCTGACACCCATGACAAGCAGCTCATGACTAAACTGCCTGTAACTGCAGCTCCAGAAATCTCGAAACCTTTTCTGGTTTCAGTAGGAAACTGTCTGCACCACATAGAATTGCCCATACATAGACATTGTAAAATCAAGAAACTCCATGTTCTGGCGTCACTGTGATTATTTCTGAAACTACTTGAAAACTTCTGAGTTCTTCTAATGGCACAATTTTCCCTACTGGAACCTCTCTATGCACTATTACTCGTGTCTGTGATTTTCCAGCATCTGTTTTTGTTTGCTTGCTTGTGTGTTTGCTTGAAACTGGGTTTAACTGTATTGTAGTCCTAGACTGGCTTGGAATTTGTGCTTTCCTGTGTCTACCTCGCAAGAAAAGAAATCGCAGGCATGCCTGGCTTATGGCTTTGGTCTTTATTGTGATTTCCTGTGATGACCTGTCCATCCTAGCCTGGAGAATAGATAATGAATCAATGGAGGAAATTTTGGCTGAGAATAAGTAGTCCTTAAGAGCCCAGGATAACTACAGGGGCACATTAGCTACGTCTCTTGCTGTTGTGATACGGTAACTGACAGAAGGCAGCTTAAGGAAGGAAGGGTTACTTTGGCTCAAATTTCAGGGGTACAGTCTCTCTTGACAGAAAAGGCCTGGTCAGGCGGCATTCACAGTCAGGAAGCAGAGAGATGGATGCTGGTGCTCAGATCACTTCCTTCCTCCTTTCTATTCAGTCCCCAGCCCATTGAATGGTGCTGTCCACATATGGGTGGCTGGTCCCACCTGAATCAACATGATCTAGAGGTGCCTGGAGGTTAGATCCTGTCAGGCCCTGCTTAGTGATAGGCAACACTCATTGCACAGAGGCCTGATTTCAACCCAGCACCACCCATCGGAGCCTCTTTGTCATGACATTGCTTTGTTTCCAATGAGCTTCAAAAGTCCCAACCATCACCGCCTTTTATCTGCCTGCTCTTTGTTTAGAAGGTTTTGATTGTTATAGGAAGAACAAGAATGCCTTATCTCCTGTTTAAGTCCAACTGGACTCCTAAAGACAGAGTGCTTTTGTCTAGCCCAGAGCTTTATCTGAGCAGTCCTGCATGTGTGAGATTAAGATGCATGCACTGTATCTTCTGTCTTCCAGCTAACGTCTCAGCACCCTTATGCAGAAGTCTTCATCGGCCGGCCACACGTCTGGACTGTGGATCTGAACAATCGAGAGGAGGTTGAGGATGCAGTAAAAGCCATCTTAAACCAGAAGGTTTCTGCTTTGTTTGTTTGTTTGCCTGCCTGTCTGCCTGTATTAGACCTGTGACCTGGACCTCAAGCAGAATGTTGCAGTGCCTTGCTTTCAGTAAACAGAGCTCGCCTCAGAGTCGAACTCAGACCATAGCCTAGCATCTGGCATAAGGATTTTAAGGAGACTCTGAGATACAAAACAGCTGGTGTCAGAGGAGTTGGGTCTTACAGACCCTGCTGACAGGCCTTCTGTCTTCCTGGGTACCAGGCATGAAGGAATTGGCTTGACTCATGCTCACATGAACTAACCATGTCATTGGAGAGATTTGCAAAATTGGATTGGTTATGTTACCTTATACAACGGGTAAAGTTGATAAAGTTGTTTTGGTGTGTGTGTGTGTGTGTGTGTGTGTGTGGTTATACATGTTCCTGTGGGCATGGGGGCATTACACATGCATTCACATGTGTCTTCTCTGTGGCTCCCTACTTGGTTATTTTTCTTAAGACATGATCTTCAACTCGTTGATTTGGCCTGGCAGGCTAGCCCAGGGAATCACCTGTCTCCACCTCCAGCACAAGATTACAGACACCCCCCATCCCACTGGGCTTTCACAGGAATGCTGCAGATCTGAACTCGGGTCCCCCAAGCTTACACAGCAAGCATCTGAGCCATCTCCTCCATCTTGTGATTTTCTACAGTGGTGCTGTTTATTTTTTCTACCCAAACATTAGGTAGAATCTTGCTAACATAACCATTCTAGACCTATCTGATCAATTCAGTAAGCATTGATTAAGCACCATTTGTATACAGGGCACCCTCCAAGCCATTCTGGGAAGACAAGGGATGTCTACCTTAGATGAGGCTGGCCACCCCATGGGAAGTCTGCCTTCCGCTAGGACTTTACTTTGCCCAGGACTGCTGTTGAAGCTCTGAGGCACAGCCTGCCCTGTGATCTTCCTCTCAAGCACCTTTCCCTTTGCTTATGTATGACTGTTGGTGTATGTGTGCTGTGAGGAGATAGGTAAGTGCAGGCTCCAGAAGGAACTATTAAAGGTGATTCTTTGTCCTGTCACCAACAAGGCCATTGGGCTGGTGACTTCCTCTCACATGTGATCTCCACTTGCCTTTTGTGTGACCCAGAAGACACGGGCGTTAGTGCCTCAGCCAATGCTGTGTAGCAGAGCCCAGCGCCATCTTTCCTACCCTTTCTCTCAGATGTCTCGGCAGCCATCAGAGTGCTCCCTCCCCTCACCCCCTGACCTTCTGGGGTTTCCTGTCCCCTGTATAGGAATCATGAGGCTTTTGTGATGCTCTGAATCCGTTTATACGTGGTCTACCAGCTCCCAGTCCCATGTCTTCTCTCGTCATAGTTCCCACTCTGGCTTAGGGTTGCACCTCAGCTGGAAGAGTACTTGTCTAGCATGTCTAAAGTCCTGGGTTCCATTCCCCAGGACCAAGTGGCCCAGACGTGGTAGCACATGTCTGATTCCTGCACTCAGGGGGTGGAGACAAGAGGATTGGAAGTTCAAGGTCACCTCGCCTATGTAGCAAGGCCACCAGCCTATGCTATATAAGACCTTGTCTCAAAGAAAAGGAAAAAACAAACAAACAGACCTCAGCCCTCTCAGGGCCTCTAGCCGAGTCCTCGGTTGTAGCAATTCGCCGCCTTGTTCTTCGGATGCACTCCCATCTCATCTCACCACTGCTACTATAGCCATCTCTCCATACCGTCCTCAGCGGCAGCGTCCTGAGCATGTATTCATGTAGCAGATGTTGGCGAAATCCCTGTACGCAATGCAACTGCCTAGCCCCGAGAGGCTGGCGCATCACAACCATACTCTTTACCCCACATGGCCTACCTGCTAGTGTGTGATAATATCCGCCTTTTTGAAGGCCTGCTATGTACTTTACACTAGCCAAGCAGCTTGCCACCACGTGCCCTCAGCACAGCTTAACAGAGATGGCTTTTCCTTCTTGCCACTCTTACACATCGGGTATCTGCAACTCAGGGAAGGTAGATTGTTCGGGGTCTAGAAGAGAACGCCATACAGCCTGAGCCCTGTCTGTCCAGTTCCGGGCTTGTAGCTTTGACACCTGCCAAGGCTCCCGCTCAGGTGTGGGCACCTGTGTGAGTCAGTGGAGAACAGTAAGTGCCTCATGCCCCGCGGCCCCTTTCACAGTGCCCTCCTGTTTCTGCAGATTGAGCCGTATATGCCGTATGAGTTCACGTGTGAAGGGTTGCTGCAGAGAATCAACGCATTCATAGAGAAGCAGGTAAGGCCCATCAGAAGTCTGTCTGTCTGTCTTTGCCATGCCTCCCCACCCCACTTTCTGTTTCCGGGATCTCACTTGGGGCACTTCTGTGGTTATTTCCCTGCTGTGGGAAACTTCAGGTGGCTCCGTGATGACTGACTGCCATTTTTAAATGCCTCACTGCCATGGTCTCCCAAGGGAGTGTTCCTTGGAGTTTGCTCTTTGCGATAACAAAGGGTCATATGGATACTGAGAATAAGACATCTGAGTGGTCAAGATGGCGTCCTCCCTGACCACGGGCTTGTACCCTGAGCAGATTCAGAAACCCTTGAAGACTCGGGAAGGGTGAAGGACAGACAGGTGGCTCTCTGTCCACCTTCATTTCTCACACCCCACACCTCATCCACCTCCACCTCCCCCCCACCAAAAAAAGCAAGGACTAGAGTCTGGAAAGATTGCACAGTCAGTGAAGTACTTGCCTTGCACGTGTGAGGAACTGAATTGATTCCCGGAAACCACATTTTAAAAGCCAGGTGTGAATCACACATTTCTAACCTCAGTGCAAGGGAACTGAAGACAGACAGACAGCCCCTGGGGTTCACTAGCCGGCCCACCTATCGGAGTTGGGAAGCTCCAGGCCAGTGAGAGACGATCTTAAAAAACAAGGTGGGCAGAGCTGAGTAATGACATCTGACATTGTCGTCTGGCCTCCATCCGCACAAGTGTCTGTATCCATGCACACGTGAATACTCACACTCAAATGCAGGGATCAAAACTGCACTTTGCAAGCACTTGAAGAGTAGAAATGCAGCAACTCTAAACAGGTTAGGACTCTTGAATGGTTTTCGAACCGGGCCTCCTTTCAAAAGAAACCTTCTGTGAAACCCGGGCCTATGCTCTCAGAGGTGACTGGCGCAACTGTCATTGTGATCCTTTATGATGTTTTAATTCCTTGGGCTTCAAAAGCAACTCAGACCCAGAAATAGACAAAGCCAGGACCCCCGTGGTAAGGGAATCTGAACTTCTGCTCGGTCCAGAAATAGGGGGTTCTCTTTATAGGGCAAAACAATTGTAAAGGGTGAACAAGGGACCTTTGCACAATGGGGGTAAGAGCTATAGAGCTGAAAATAGAAGTAGTAGTCAAAACCTAAATGAAGGCTGCCAGCCCAGGGTCATTTCCCAGGGGAAGCTGGGCCTCTGGGATGGGCCCAGAGTATCTGATCAGCTGGGCTGTGGAAGGCCAGGCAGGAAACAGGAGATGAGTAGGTTCACTTACCGGTGTGTGTGCAGGCGGGTGTGCACATGTTTACAAATGTGCACGCACATTTATGTATGCAGTACACCTACCTGTAGAAGACAAAGGACTACCTCAGGTGTCACACCTTAAGTGCTGATCACCTTTTCTTTGAAATAGGGTCTCCCACTGACCTGCAACTCACCAAGTAGGCTAGGCTAACTGTCCAGTGAGCCCTAGGCGTCTGCCTGTGTCCGTAATCCCAATGCTGGGATTACAAGCACTGACCACCAAGTCCAGCCTTTCTCTTGAACTCGGGTCTTCATGCTTACACAATGAACATTTTTAGCAACCGAGTCTTCTCCCAGATCCAGCAACCTGGAGTCAGCTCCCAGTACCATGAGTTTTTGTTTCTAGGAATTGAGCGTTTATAACTCAGGCTCTCTTGCCTTAGTAAAAAATGTTCCTGGGAGCATTATATGAGCAAGTACTCAGGAAGTACTGAGACCTGACAGCATACTTGGGGGAAGAAGGTTAGTCGATACTGTTTAACATACCATGCTCTGTTGTGGTATATTATGATGTAATTGTACACACTTGAGCTCAGCATTTGTCATTATCCCATTCAGTCTCCACAGGACACAGAAAGGACAGAACTGTCATAACTCCGGCACACATGCAGTACACCACTGTCCCCACTCATGGGTTCCCTTTCCAAGGGTTTGGTTTCCCGTGTCAATCAGGATCCCAGAGTACTAAATGGAAAATATCAGTTCAGTACAAGAAAATATGTTGCAAGAAGAAGAAACTCTTCGAGTGTTTATTGCGGTAGACTTTTCTAACGTTCCGCTTTAGTTTTAGTTCTTGGTCTCCTGTTGTGTCTAATTAAGCTTCATCATGGATGTATAGCAAGGTGTTGCGTATGGGTTTGGTACTATGCACGGTACTATCCACGGCTGGTCTTTTCATCCTGCAAAGATATAGGGTGTGATTAGTTACTTTTCTCATTGCAGTGACAAAATACACTACAAGAGCAACTTAATGAAGGAAGGTTTTATTTTGGCTCACAGCTCAAGGATATGGTTTGTTGTGGTGGGGTGGGTAGACAGAGGCCGCTGGACACACAGCATCCACAGTCAGGAAGCCGAGAGAGATGGGCACTGTGCTCAGCTCAATTTCTCCTCTTTATTAGGTCACTTTAGTTTACCCAATCTAGAAACGCTGTCACTGACATGCCGGGAGGTTTGTCTTCTAGGTAAGTCTAGATCCTGCCAAGTTGACAGTATCGACCATCACGGGGTAGGGGTCTGTATACTCTGTCAGTTCACACAGTAAGACTCGAGATGTGTCAGGAGAGACCGCGTGGTGGGAACTGAGACACACAGTCAGGATTTGTTGAAGATCTGGAGTAAATCCATGTCAGCCAGCGCTGTGCATTCATTTGCCAGGATTGCAGGTGGCCCATGGCTTGGCTCCCCGAGTGCTGGCTTTTATACACATACACATGTGTTTTTTCAAGTGGGTCCTGCCGACCAAACAGATTCTCATGCTTGCAAGACGTGCACTTCAATGAGTGAACCATCTCTGGGCATTTCTTATAAGACATCCTCCTAATTCCTCATAAATGAGCAATAACAACGGGGGCTATTTTCCGTTTATCTCAGGAACTCTTTCAGACCCAAGATGTTCCCTCGGTGCACGATAGAATCTAAGACCCCTATGGATCAGATCAAGTCTCCTATTAGCTGCAGGCCTCGCATCTTAGAGCTTGGAGCACTCGGTATATTTTTACAGTTTGCAGAGTATCTTCAAAGAGCAGCAGTGATGGAGAGAGGGTATTCCTGCCAGGGGTGGGGCACCTGGGGCTGGGAGGAGGTTCCCACACCTGGACCTGCAGCGTTCAGTAGCCAGGGCTCAGCTTTCAGAGTCCTCCATGTGGGTTACACAGAGCGCAGGGGCGTGGGCACTTTTATCCCAGAGCCCTTTCAAGATTGCCCCAACACACACACACACACACACACACACACACACACACACACACACACCCAACAGCGGCAGGAACCAGGTGCATCTAAATTGATAGCCTTTAAGATCACCCCAGGCTTCAGGGTACATTTTAAGAGTCGCTGCTGAGAGCCCTACCTTGCAACCAGCCCAGCTGGGACACAGGCCCTCTCCCCACAGGGCGAAACTGAGTCCAGGGAAATACTTGGTCATCTCCACCAGTGCCCCGCCCCCGCTGCACTGAAACCATTGTCGTGGGGTACTGTCTTTGAAATGAGCTCTCTGAAGGACTGACTCCAGCTGATGGGGAGTTAGCCGAGAGTAAAATCCCCCAGTGACCGAAGATCAGTCTTGACTGTTCCCAGTCTGAATGTGTCTAGGCTTGTGAAGGTTGCCACTCTGCGTTGTTTGGGGGAAGTTAGGGATTTACCTCCAGGAGAAATAAAGCAGCTAGAGAAGGGAAACAGGTCATTTTCTGCTTCCCATAGAGATCTTCCAGGGTACAGAATGTGGCAAGAACACTAGCTCATTTGGTTAAAAACTCCTGATGCCAAACTTGGCCACCTGAGTTTGGTCCCTAAGACCCAACTGGTGGGAATAGACTTCCACAGATGTACTGTGGCGTGTGTGCAATCAGATGCACACAAAATAAATAAAACTAACTTTAAAAAAATTGCTTAAATACATATACAGGGTGATCAGTTGGTGTTTGGTTTGAGACAGCATCTTATGTATCCCAGGCTGGCCTTGAACTTGTTATGTGGACAAGGATGACCTTGAACTCCTGGTCTTCCTGTGTGTTCATAAATGCTGGGATTGCGAGTGTGTACCACCATGCCCCATTTATTCATCGCAAGGACGGAATCCAGGGCGCTGTGCATGTGTGGCAGGTTCTGTACCAGCTCAGCCTACCCCCCCTTCCTCCCCCCCCCCCCGCCCCATCCCATAATGTCCTTGGTAAGAGCTGGTTGCAAAGAAAAGGCGATGCAAAGAGGCAAAGGAGGGCGAGCCAGCCTCCCTGCTCCCTGCTGCGTTGGTAATGGCCAGCAGGGCTGGCCAGAGTTCACAGCCTACATCAGAGTACCTGCCCCATCGTTTTGCCTTTCTGTGAGACAGTGCCGATGCTGCCTACCCGCTGTGTAGGGTCGGCAAATACACATTCATGGCCAAGCTGTGTGTCTGATCCAGGCAGCCCTTCTTTAGCAAGGAACCCAGAAGCCATTGCCCAGCACTCAAGAGGCTAAAGCAGGAGGCTCCTGTGTTTGGAGCTGTATCACACAAGAGACGCTATGTCACTACAAACAAAATTTTAAAAAAAAAGTCTAAGAATCTTTTGTTCAAAATATTCCTTACAAAGCACAAAGCGTGTAAGTGTTCCTACATGATCAATAAAGGGATTGTTGTCAATTCACAGACTTAATTTACAGAAAATAAACCCATCCCAGGGCCAGCAAGATGGCCCAGTAAGTAAAAATGCTTGCTTCTGAGCCTAACTACCTGTCTTATAGTTAGGGTTTCTGTTGCTGCTGCATTGAAACACCAGGACCAAAAAGCAGTTTGGGGAGGAAAGGGTTTATTTGGCTTGCACTTCCACATCATAGCCCATCATTGAGGGAAGCCAGTAAAGGAACTCAAACAGGCGGGAACCTGGATGCAGAGGCCATGGAGGGTGCCGCTTACTGGTTTGTTCCCCATGGCTCGCTCAGCCTGATTTCTTATAGAAACCACCCACCATGGCCTGGACCCTTCCCCACTGATCACCAATTAAGAAAACACTTTATAG